TGCCTTTCACATAGTTTAGGACATTTTCTGTACCCTCTTTGACATTGCTCAATTTCATATAATTATTCTTTTAAAATTTTTAGCTTTGGAATTCATTTATATTATTCATTATATTATCATGCCATATTATGTGATAATATGGCATGATATTCTTCTGTTCACCTTGATTTGTATCATGTTGTATGCATGAACCACATGTTTTTTAACCATTCATCTGCCATTGGACACTTAGGTTATTTTCACATAGGTTCTGTATGTTGGCTATTAGGAATAGGCAAGTTGGTAAGTAGGGTCCCCTAGACCCCTCCAAACACTGAAGGCTATTGCCATTGTTCCAAAAAGTGATAACAAAACTGTCCTAGTTTGCTTCTCTATTGCTGCAATAAAACACTCTGAGCAAAATCAGCTTGGGGAGGAAAGGGCTGATTTCAGCTTACAGTACAGTGCTTCATTGAGGGAAGCCAGGGCAGGAGCTGAGACAGGAACCTGGATGCAGGAACTGAAGCACAGTCCAGAGAAGAACACTGCTTACTGGTTTGTTCCCTTGGCCTATGCTCAGCCTGCTTTCTTAACACAACCCAGGAACCCCTTTCCAGTGGTGGAACCACCCACAGTCTGCTGGGCCCTCCCATATCATTCAACAATCAAGATAACAACTCACAGTATTCGCATAGGTAAGCCTTAGTTGAGGTTCCCTCTTACCAGGTGTGTCAAGTTGACAACTGAAGCTGTCTGGCACAAGGACCCTACTGTAAAGACACCACATACTTCAGTTGTAGGACATGGAGAAATCAAGCTGGTACCAACCTGAAAGCATTATCCATATGGGCTAGCTTTCGTGGTTCTCAGAGGTTCTATGCACAACTACTGTGGGAGAAAAGTAATCAAGAGTCTTAACCAGCTGTAAACCCTGCAAGCAACAATAATGACTACCTGTTAGGATATCCCCACTGTTGCAAATGTGGCACAAATGTGAAGGGAGTAAAAACATCACTTATGGGCTGGAGAGACAGCTCAGCAGTTAAGAACACTGGTTGTTCTTACAGAAGACCTGGGTTTGAATCCCAGCACCCACATGGCAGATAACAACTGTCCGTAACTCCAGTCCCAGGGGATCCGACAGCCTCTTCTGACCTCCGCAGGCATCACATGATACGGATGCACTTACCTACCTGCAGGTGATACACTCATACACATAAAATAAAAATAATAAATAAATAAATCACTTACTCATTGGATTTAAAACTTGCTCCACAAGAAAACACTTAAACCTGGTGCTGTTAACTGGTTAAAAAACACATTCCAGCCAGGCGTGGTGGCGCACGCTTTTAATCCCAGCACTCAGGAGGCAGAGGCAGGCGGATCTCTGTGAGTTCAAGGCCAGCCTGGTCTACATAGTGAGTTCCAGGACAGCTGGGGCTACTGGGAAACCCTGTCTCAAAAAACAGACAACAAAACAAAACAAAACACATTCCTTTTGGGCAAGGTGATAGATGGGGATATAATTTCAGTCTTCTACAGGTGGAGATCCAGTTTAGCAGCAACTGTTGAAGATGCTTTCTTTCCTCCATTGTGTGTTCACCTCTGTCAAATGTCAGGTGGCTGAAATTGCATGTACTCAGGTTTGGGGCTTCAATGATGTCCCATTGATCTATGTGTCTATTTTTGTGCCAGAATCATGCTGTTTTTATGATTATCACATGTTGTATACTTTGAGATCTAGTATAGTAATTCCCCCAGCACTGCTCTTTGTGCTCAGGGATGCTTTGGATATCCGGGGTCTGTTGTCCTTCCGTATGAATTTTAGGATTTTTTTTCTAACTCTGTGAAGTATGTCATGGGGATTTTGATTAGTATTGTGCTGAATCTATATATTGATTTTGGTAGGCTGGTCATTTTCACAATATTAGTTTTTCCAATCTGTGAGCATGGGATGTCCTTCCATCTCCTGGTGTCTTCCTCAATCTCTTTCTTTAAAGATTTAAAACTTTCATTGTGGAGATCTTTGATGTCTTTGGTCAGGTGTGTTCTAAGATATTTCATTTTTTTGAGGCTATTGTGAATGGGAGTATTTCCATGTACTCTTTCTCCAGTTGCTTGTTATTGGTATATAAGAAGGCTACTGATTTTTGTAGATTAATTTTGTAACCTACCAATTTACTGAAAGTGTTGATCAGTTCTAGGCGTTTTCTGGTGGAATTTTTGGGATCTCTTACGTATACTGTCATATTGTCTGAAAAAAGGGATAATTTGACCCTTTCATTCCAATTAGTACTCCTTTAATTTCCTTCTCTTGTCTCATTGCTCTAGCAAGAGTTTCAAGCACTATATTGAAAAGGAGTGGAGATAATGGAAGTGGACATTCTTGTTTGGTTCCTGATTTTAATGGGAATGCTTCCAGTTTTTTTCCATTTAGAATGATGTTGGCTGTGGGTTTATTGTATATAGCTTTAATTATGTTGAGGTATGTTCCCTTGAGTCCAATTCCCTTTAGAACTTTTACTATGAACACACGCTGAATTTTGTTGAAAGCCTTTTTGACATCTATTGAGATGATGATGGGGTTTTTGTATTTGAGTCCATTTATATGATTTATGTTGTTTATTGACCTGGGTATAGTAAACCATCTCTGCATCTCTGAAATAAAGGCTGCTTGATCATGGTGAATGATCTTTTTGATGTATGTCTGTATGCTATTTGCAAGTATTTTGCTGAGAATTTTTGCATCTATATTCATTAATGATATGGGTCTACAGTTTTCTTTTTCGGTTGTGTCCTTACCTGGTTTTGGTATTAGGGTGATGCTGGCTTCATAGAAGGAATTTGGAAGTTCTCCCTCTGTTTCCATCTTTTTGAATAAATTAAGTAGTATTGGTTGGAGGTCCTCTTTAAATGTCTGGTAGAATTCTGCTGTAAATCTATCTTGACCTAGGGTCTTTTTAGTCAGGAGTTTTTGTATTAATCTTTTA